TGAGTCAGGATGACCTGGATTTGAATCAAACCTCCGCAACTTACTAGTCCTAGGACCCTGGCAAAGTCCCTTTACTTTTCTGTGCCTCAGGCAGCTCCCTAGGGCTTATCTCTGAAGTCATGGGGGAGGAGGTAGGAGAGATCATTTTTCATTGAGACTTCCTATGCTAGGGAATTCTGCTCATAAAATCACTGATTGCTCAAGTACTCACATAATAGTAGTTGTAATAGGACTATCCAAAGAGATGTCCATTTGCTTTGGACTTTTAAATGCCTGGGATGCATTGTATAGAAAGTCACATGAGCAGGAATAAAGTAGCAGCTTTGGCAACCCTACCATGGTTAGGTTCCCTCGGTTGGTGGAGAGGAACTTGCTTCAAAAGGCAGCACTGTATCCAGTAAGAGATGTGGATACAACTACAGAGCTCACTCGCCTGGGAGAATCAACATGGAGCAAAAGAGAGATTGGCCTTGGTATACACCTTGACTGGTATAGATCTCTTGCCTTGAATACCTGTGCCTTGTTCTGGAACCAGTGTGTGCTTACATATGTTTTGTAGACTTTGGGAGGTCTTTTCTTGGGTTCGTTTTGAATTTCATTGATTTAGGAGACTCAGAGAGGTAGGAATTCCCTCCTTTGCTGCAGATCAGAAACTTACCTGTGAGAGTGGGTTGGCACTCTGAGAGGTTAAGTGACTTGCTCTTGGTCACACACCAACACGTATTCAAGGTAGAACTTATACCCCCTCTTCCAAATTCCCAAGCTACTTATGCTACAACAACTCTCAGTTGACAACACCCCCCCCCCCCCACCCAATGACTTTCCTGAGATCTGGCCAAGTAGAGCTGTCCACGGCCATGTTTGGCCAGCATCTCCCTCATAGTCATCACTCTGGGCAGAGCTGTTTTTAATCTGGTAGCTGCTCCTGGCTACCTGAGGAACACTGGGCCAGTTGTTCTCTGTTATGGGTATCCAGCAGTAAATAGGAAACAGGGAACCCTGTTTATGCTGCTGAACTCACATGTGGATTCCCACCATCTCAATCGCTCTCCTTTTAGATCCAAGTGCACGTTTTAGCCTTTAGGTGCAACACAGACTTTTCTAGAGTCCAAGTGCTTTCCAAATAAAAGGACTGCTAAATGCAGATGTCACCTGAATACAAGCCTGAATGCCACCTCTGTTTGAAAGGAAAAGACCCACATCTTCCAACTAGTGATTTATAGGAAATTTCCGAACTGTTGCCATGTGATTCAATGTGGTATATCACATTGACATTCCATGCTACCAGATGTTTCTTTATTCCTGTTTTAGCACAGCGGACTTGACCCAGAGCAGCCCAGAATGCAGATCGTGAATGAGTGGCTATACAGTGCTTGCCTGTTAGGCTGAGGGAACGTGGCACATTGAGATGGCTTTTCGTTTCTTTCTTTGAATGTTATTCATTGCAATGCCGGAACTGTTAATTTAATTAAATGTTTTGTTTTTATATGAAGCCATATTGCAATGTGCTGGCTTTCCATTTCACTTAGTTAATTGTAAGCCTCAAGATCTGATTACTCATAGTTGCATTTTAGTTAATTTACTTGTTCACAGTTTTGACAGCAAAGCTTTCAAAGTAATACGAAAGGATGGGCACAGTGATCAGTTAGGAAACTAGAAAATCACCTTATTTCCCACAAGGTAGCTCACTTTGAAGCTCATAGGCACATGCGTGAGCATACACAAACACATGCACACAAGCACATGCACATACACACACACACACCCCTACCAATTTTCATGTTGGTGAGCCCAGTTATCATAACAAATGGGATGTGGGATTTGGAGAACACCATTCATTGGCATGCTTGTGGTGAATCTCACTAGAAGATGTTTCTGTGCACTTTCCCCAAATCCCCACTAAATCTACTGTCTTGTCCAGTCCTGTTCTTCCCCTTTACCTCCCCTATCTTCTTCCATATGCATCTGGTATGTTATGTGGCTCTGTCTCCCTCATTTCTACCATCCCCAATTTCTTGTACATTTCCTAGTCTTTTGCTCTATTTCCTTCTATACAGAGCTCATGTAGAGATGAGGTAATTGGCCATCCTGGACAGAACCACAACTATGGTGGATCAGTTGGGGCTTGGCCTTGGGTGATAAAATTTAATGATTCTTGCTGGCCAGATAATAAACTCAGTTGTTTCAGTCTAATGGTAGAGAGTAAGTTCTATCAGCACCCTTTATATGTATGTAAACTGTTTCGGTATCAGTCCTTTTCTCAGTACAGTATTGATTCTTTTCTCTGTTTCTCTACTGGTTGGCCACTTTCTATATGAAGACATGTTCAGATGTCTTGCAGGGAAGAGTTGAAAAGAAGGATCAATTTAAACACAAATACCAATTGGGAGAAGTAGATGGGGGCCAAATTGTAGAGAATAGAAGATGAGAGGATGACAAGAGAAGAGGAGAGAGGAGGACCCAGGACAGTCTTAGGGTATATCTATGGTTTAGGGGTGGGGTATGGATGATGAATGAGCAGAGACTTGAGCAGGAATGAGAAGCAATGTATACACGCAAATGTAGTATTTCAAGACATCCTGTATGAAGACTGCTTTCACAGAATCTCAGAAATCGTTTAAATTGCTTAAGGACTTTAAAAATTAAATCCAATTTTAGTCAGAGCCCCTTCTGTTCTCTTTCCTCTGCTAGTGACTGAGCCTCAGTTTTCTCATCTGTAAAATCAGAGAGTTGGACTAGATCTTAGGTCTTAAAACTGGAAAGGACTTTAGAGGTGACCCAGCCCTGCATCCTAATTTCATCGAGGGCGAAACAGGCCAAAAGAGATTAAATTATTTGCCCAAGATCACAGAGGGAAGAAGTAGCAGAATCAGGATTTGAACTCACTGTACTTTCCATGACCCTGTGCTGTCTCAGATGGTATGGTTCCTTTGTCCTCTCAAGTTACAGGATTCTGTGATTCTTGGTTATATTAATATTCTCAATGTCCTTTTTCTAAAGTTTATTGGATTTCTTGTCAGTTGCATCATACACATTTGAGTGAAAAAAGAAACTGACGTTTACAAATTGCTGTTCCCTATTGGAGTGCAGAGTATGTGGTGAACTGTATTTTGTTCATTCTCTTGCCATAGCTGCATGAAAAGCACATTTTATCTGGTGTTCCCTTGTCTATCAGCTACAGGGATGCACCGTTCATTTTGTTCTAGAGAAATTAGTCACCAAAGATTCGTGAAAAGCAGATAGTTTGAAGAAAAGGTCACGAATACCTTTTCTAGTTTGTGTCCTCTCCTGAGTCATTGTCAGAAAGAGGGACCGGCTGTAAAGGTTCCTTCTTTAGACGTGAGGTCCTCAGCTTTGGGTGTACGAGGCAGAGTTCTTCTGTTTAACTCACTGTCACTTGGAGAGCAGGCCTCTTTGCAAGACTAGCTAAAGATAAATAAGCCCTGGTGACAGATTCTCTGGAAATACCGAAGACAGGCACATCATGTTATGAATTCGTATACCGTCACCTCGTATGGATGGTCCTCTGCTTCTCCATGATTTGCTTTCTGTGATACTCACGACCATGACTTCCTTCCTTAAACCAGTCGTATTAGAGAAGAAGCTTACTTTTTCGCAAGCTTTTTTTTAAACCCAATACTGAGGATAAATTTTACAGTTTAGGTTTACAGTTTAACACTATGTCCTATTTTATTTTCTTTCAGTTGATGCAATTTAACAGAATGATTGCCTTTGTCCCAGTGTCTTTTGTTTTCCTCTCCCCTTCCTTTATTCATCTTATCCAACTCTCCATTTTACAGGTGAAGTCAGTGAAGGTCAAAGAAGCATTGTGTCTTCTCTTGGGGCTCAGTAATGTACCTAAGTACCTACCTCACAGAGTTATTGTGAGGACAGAGCTATCATTTGAAGAAGTTATTGTTTTAAGCTCTTTGAGGTCAACGAGAATGTCTTATATTTTGTGTCCCTCAGGAGCTTGCCCTAGACATAGTAAATGTCAGTAAACTGATATTAATTTTTATCATAAATTCCCCAAACTGTAAAAATAAGCCTACTTGAGGTCATACCCATCCTTCGTCACTTGAAATATGATGTAAATATCCACAAAAAGAAGTAGTAGCTACCTGCATTTGTGAGTACTGCCTCTGGCTTCATGGTATAACTTCAGTACTTCAGTGGTTCTATGATCTCATCTAAAGGGTTGTTCCCTCCATCGTTTAGATTATACCTTCTCTGTGCTTTCTCATCCTGTGTAGCTCTTGCTCCATGACTGGCCCACCTCCTTTTTGGGTCTTAAGTATCTGTGGTGGTGTCTTTAGCAGAACTCTTAAGGACAAGCTAGTTTACACTCACTATGCATCTTTCCGTAGTCCTTTTTGTGTCTCCTGGAAGGTTGATGCTTTGGAGGCTGTATTATTCTCTGACTCATGGCCATCACTGGGAGAATATCAGTATTGAAATGTTGATGGCCTTGGCAGCAGTGAGTAGCTTGGCTTCAATGAAAACATTATACTATTTTCCAAATATGATCTAGCCAGAATTCTTCCTTCTAGTAAATTTTAGGTCACTCCTAGGTCTGTTCATTTGTTGTGTTTGTACTGATGGACACACTCAAGGTGATAGCAGAGGCAATAAAGTAGATAAAAAGTGATGTAAAGCAACTGTTGAGCGCCATTGGCAACCCCCGTATTCGGCATTTGGATTACGCTGCATTGCTAACTACCAGTGTAGGCATTTTGCAGGCAAGTTTGTTTTTAGTACCTTTCTTCTCTGTGGTTTCAGATCTGTATAGCAGGATTCTTTTTAGACTGTCATTTGGAAGATGAATGGAGAAGTGACCAAAGGAGTTGAAAATAGCTTTGTTTCAAAAAAAAAAAAATTACAATTGTGGCTTCCATTTGGCTTCCCACTGTTCCTAACGGGATTGTTAGGCCAACAAATACACCATCCTCAGTTATGTTAAAAGAGAGCCCATATTTGAATTGTGGCTATTTTGGTTTTAGGTATTACAGCCGCTGCCATGGCCGAGGCCATGAAGTTACAGAAGATGAAGCTCATGGCAATGAATAGTCTCCACGGAGGTGGAAGCCAAAATGGAACCGAATCAGAAAATGAAGAGCTTAACTCTAATGCTGGTAAGAATGCCAAGATGGCAGTTGTTATCCATTGATGGTGGTAGTGAAGGAGGGTGCCCTCAAACTTCTCCTCTTTTTTGCTTTCCTAACCTACACACACAAACCAGAAACTTCACCAGGTGATTCCTTCCCTACTCCCTCTGTAGAATACAGCTGCCTAGGCTTATTTTTCCAGGGTGTTTTCCCACCTCCAAAGGGCAGCCAAACCAATGAAGATCCTTTGATTCCACCCTTAGTTGCAAACGTTTTTGGGTAACTGGAACCCCTCAGATCCCTCATCACAATCACACAACCCATTTAGGATCTCGTGTTCCAAGGTAGTCTCACTTTCATCAGATCCCTGCTGCTCACATTGTCTACACGCTTTTATAACTGAGCCAAGTGAGAGAGAAAACAGGAAGGCTGCCATTCCTCCATGGAAAGAGGCAATACACGCTCCTCCTGACTCTTGACTCACTGATTTCCAAATCTTCAAATGTTGCAGAACTAATCTCCATTGCCTACGAAGATATCCTAAAATCTGGCATTATATTAGAGGACATTTTTTGTTATTGTCAAAAGAAATTAGAGACAATGCCATCCAGTCTCCCATTTTGGCCTCAGTATCAGAAATTCCCTTTCTGTAAAATGACCCAAAACTAATATGAGGTCTGCCTTAATGTTAGCAAGACAACCCAGATCATTTGAGATAGACACTTTTTTTCAGAGGCTATTTTTGAACCTGGTCACTCATCATTTCTTTGCTGATCCACATTGGAGAAAGCTAAGCATCATCATTACCCATAAATGTATTTATTATCGTTTCTCCTTGTGTGGGATGCAGACCTCCGTACTGTACCATTTGTGTTAAGTCTGCAGTTGTCCTTGGCGTGAGGTGCTTACAGTTGAATTAATCCTTACTTGAGAGGTAGTTAAAGCAGACTTAACAAATATAATTTTTTTTAGCCTTTTCAAAGGCTACTCAAATGGAGGCACTCTTTTTCCTGAAAATAATTGTTATTTAAAAATATTGGGTTGCCAACTGTACCACCACTGAAGGTAGATCACTATGGTACTTGGGTCAGGAACATTTTTTCTAGCTAGAACTATTTGGAAAGTCCGAGAGAAAGTCTTAGGCATTTCTGTTGTCTTCTTCCTATGCACGTTTCCAGTATTGGCATTGGCCACTGCTAACAGAGATCAAAGACAGAACTTTCCTCCTTTGGTCTCGGTGGCTGCCACCTTTGATATACCTTAATGAATGCCAAGAGGGGGAAAAGTAGGTAGAGATTGGGAGGGTAGAGCAGAGTAAAAAGATTTAGGGCATGATAGAGGCCTGAATGCCCATCAGGTACTTACAGGGAACTGAGGAATCCCACAGAAAATCCAAAGGAAGAATAGGCCTTTAAGGATCTCCCAGGTGTTAGTGATGAGGTGCCAAGTCTGTTCATCCAAAATCATGCATCCCAGTGCATTCATCGGGAGCCTCAGTCATACTTGGTCCCACAGAATACCAGGGATACCTTAGAAGTAAGATTAGCCCTGGTGAACTTGTGCTTGTTATCTGTTGGCCTATTTCCAAGCTCCTTGGTCCCCCTTCTCCCCACCATGCACCCACATCAGGGACTTCTGGGACATGATCCACAATACAGGTTTCACAACAATTTCAGGTCATGTACTATAATTTAAGATAATATTGTGTAAAACTAACCTTAAGGGTTGTTTCTTGAATGAATGAATGACTGTCATGCTGAAGTTACAGAGAATATGTTTGGGGCCAATTTATGAAGTTGGATGATCTTATTTTGACTTTAAAAAACAATCCAGTAGTCTAGAATGAAGGAAAGGTTATTATTGAATAGGCGCTTCCTTTGCATTCTGGGGATAATGTATTCTGGGGTTCCTTAATCAACCCTAGCATAACAGCCCCTTGGACTTCATCACCATACTTCCTTTCCTCTGGCACACAGGGAATACTTCTAGTGGACTTTTGAACTGCTGATCCTTAAAACTCAGTCCCCAACCCAAGACAGCAGTCAGTCACCTTGGTGGCTGATGCTAAGCATCATGGCTGAGCACTGAAGAGATGACAGTTTAGAGAGGGATAATTTTAGAATCTGTCCCAGGGAGCAAAGTCTTCGGGTTCAGAAAACCTCGTAGTTGTCAATTAGGTTTCTTGGAATAAGGTGGCCTGCTCTAATTTCTGTGTAGTGTCTAGTGAGGGTGTTCTTTTGTTCATGGCGTAGCCATTCGTTCTTTTGACATGCTCACTGAGCTCTTGCCACATATCCACGTGCCATAAGGTGCTGTCGCGAGCCTCCACTTTCCTCATCCATCCAATGAGGACATCCCTTTTTGCCCTACTTACCTACCTCACAGGGTTGTTGTGAGGAACACCACTATAAATTGTAGAGTGTTGTATCAACCTAAGATATAGGAGCCATGTGCCTATCCTTAGGAGCTTACGCTGTCATGAGGGGAAAATATCTGCAAGAGATCTATAAATATCTGAATATCAGAATGTGTAAATACTCTGTCACTTAAAACAACACCAGATTTGTTTTTATCTCTCTGCCAAGTCCTTGTAATAACCTCTTATCCCAGCTAGCTACCTTGTCCCATCCCCTCCCTCTACCTCAGACAGACACACCCACACCGACCAGCCCCCCTCCCCCATTTTCCAGTAATATGGCTGTTTTTCTGTGGAACACCTGAATATTGCCTTTTGGCATTCGTGTTTGACTAAATATATAGCAAAGTGTTGAAATGTTCTATAGTTCTCAGATTGGCCTTTGTACCTTGATTCCCTTCTTTCAAATAACAATGCCATAGCTTAAGGAAATTGTCCAACTCACGCCCTGAACAAAGCTGCTGCCATGACATGGGGGAAAGCCCACGTGATGGTGAGATGCCTGCACAGAGGTTATACAAGGGCCATTGGCAGGTGGGCGCCATATCAGTGTGCACATGCATGTGATTTGCTTTATGGGAAAGCTTCTGTTTGCTCTGGCTGTTTATTCTAATCTTATATTTTGTAATGATTCTGAGGGAGTAGGAATATGAGGGGGGCCTGAAAAAGCAATTGAATTCTTAACATTTGGGGGGAAAAGACGAGATGGCAACGAGAGAAGATTGGCGAGGTAGGCCAGTATTTTCTCCTTCTGGAGACAGACCTCTAGTTTCTTTGATTGGAGGTTGTGTTTAATAGCGTCTCTAATGGCTGCAACATGACTCTGCATTGAGATTTCGGCATGAATAACAACCTGTTCGTGTTTCATTGAACTCCAAATGAGAAATTCTGTCTTTTATTGTTTTAGGAAATTAGTCTGTGTACTATTGCTCCTGGAGCTTTATAATTAATCACTAAAGGTTATGGCTGTGGAGAGTTTGTGGGAAATAGATGCCTGAATGATTATAATTGTAGCTGTCAAATCAGAAATATAGTTCCACAGCAGCAGGCTTTATTTTTTTTTAACACTGTAACAAAGACTGGGAGGATTGCCTCTTGCCTTATACAAAGAGATGGAGGTTTTGTTTTGTTTTAAGCAATATTATTTAGTTCCGAAGGAACTATACATAGTGCCTTACTCGAGTGGGTTTGAGGTGATACCTGCATAAATTGTTGACATTCTTGGTCTGTACTTGTGCAGCCTTGTGTGATGATAACGTAGCTTACGTGGAGGAGACATTGGACATCTGAGTACGTTGAAAGTCAAGTTTGATAGGGACAAGAAGGAGAGAGAGAGAGAGAGACAGAGACAGAGACAGAGACAGACAGAGACAGAGACAGATTTTAGAAGAATTTCAGAAGCTCTAATCCAAGCTCCCAAATAGTCTCCATGTCTTTTATCATCTTTGTAAGAGATCATAAGACTTATGTCTAGGGAACCAGAAGATGTGTTCTGGGTTTCTTTGTTTGTTTTTGCACCTGCGTTGAGAAAACCCCATGATTTTTAAGGCTTCATTTCATAGGACCATAGATCCTTCAGGCTGTATGCTGCTGTTCCTTCTCCCACTCTGTCAGATAGAAACATGCATCAACCCTGGGAACCTATTCTTTTAAAAGATTCCTAACCAATCCCAAGAGGCAGCCATTTTGCCTATTTGGAAATTCTCTAATGTCTAACCTAAACAACTACTGTAGTGCAGAAGGCACCCTTAGTCTGTTCTCAGTGGCATTGAGAACAATTTTTCGCTCTTCTCTGGGTTCAAGTACCCCCAAGTTCAGCTTATGCTCAAACATTGTCTTCTCTAATCTTAATCTTTCCCTTTCTCATGCTCATTTGGCACACGCATTGCTGCTTAATCAGTCATATATACTTCCTGTGAGCCCTCCCCTCCCTCTCAATGCTCTGCGAAAGGCTTAACATAGACTTTCTAAACCACTCTTGGGTCCTACATGCTGTATCCTGTTGAGCATTTTAATTTTGTCCTCACATTGATGACTCATGGTCTGCCTCCAAGCCACTTTAGCGCCCTATATCTTTTAATCTTTTTTGGGAGATGGCGAAGGAAGCATGGCATAGTGGAAGGAGTGTTCAACTTTGAGTCAGGACGACTTAGATTCCAATCATCTCTCCTGTGCTTGCTGGTTGTATGACCCTGGGAAAGTTTTTGATCTCCTTTGAGATAATAGTAACCTCACAGAGTTGCTGAAAGATTCCAATGATTGAACAGAATGGCAATCGCTTTATAAGCCTTAAAACTCCATAAAATAGACATATTTAGCTTGATTGAGAGTCTACCCTTTCCTATTTTGTGTTTGCACGATTTGGTTAAAGGGCTTTCACGTTGCTTTTGATTCTCAAATTCTATCCCTTCTTACTTTTAACTCTTATCTACAACTTGATGAAGTAATTTTAAATTCTCAACCCATCCTCCAAACTGCCAGCCCGCCCCCCAGCTTAGTAATACCTGCGTATTTAACGATCCTGTTTTCTATTTCACCACCTCTGTCACCAATGCAAATATTAACCCCAAGTCTAGGATGTGGCCTAGGAGAGATGCTGTTGTTTGCAATT